CTCTTCTCGGCACTAAACAGTCCCAGCTGTCTCAGCATTTCCTCATTGGAGAGATGCTCCAGTCCCTTCATCATCTTTGGCCTCTCTCCAGTAGCTCCATGTTTCTCTTGTACTGAGATCCTCTCCTGTACTGGGATCTCTTATACTGTACATTCTTCAGCTTATGTTTAACATATCAGAAGTAACCTATATCACTTCTAGAAACATCCTTAGTTAATAAAGATTGTGAAATTAAGCCATATTTGATAATGAACTTTATCAATCTACCAAGCCAGTTTTTGAATTGCTATTTTTAGTTTACAAAGGAAGATGGCAATTACTGCCTACAATCCAAAAGTTGCAGCTTTATTTATGCATGTGTGGGTAAACAAACCCAAATTTTTCAAATGTGTGATAATCTCCTTAGCAACAAGAGGAGGTCCAGAAATACATCTGAGAAAACGAAGCTGTTAAATCCTGGGTAAGCATATGAATGACTCTGATGACTATAAATTTAAGCGCAAACTTAAATTACTCAGTCAGAATCAGCATCCTGTATTGTTCTTCTGTTTTTCTTTCCAAAAATGTCATCAGTTTTGGAAAAATTGATATACATGAGTGGAGATGGATTTTTGATCAGAATACAGGTAGATTTCAAACTCTTAGGGTGGATTAGGAATAGTTTTAACTTTTTTTTAAGCCAGGCAGAGGGCCAGAGGGGACAAATGTAGTGCAACAGCACTGAAAATTCTTGAATGCAGCTGGAACAATTCTGCAAAACCATCCTAAAATGGTTCTATAAAACATTATGAGAATTCATCCTCATATGTGTAAGGAAACCAGAAGAACGCTAGTCTGAACTGAGTTTTATACTACAGGGTGGCTGACAAACACAGCTAAGAAAGCGGTTTTGTACCACATTAACCTGAGGAACACTTGGCTTACTAAAAAGATATTATCATCGGTGTTTCCAATCCTGTAGTCTCAAAAAGAGCATTGAAACTGTGTGAGGACTTCAGAATATGGCCCAGAGGAGTACATATAACCAACTGTGGCTTATAGTTCTTACTTCTGGGCCTATGTTCATTACTAGTACTAATGCTCAGTACAATTTTGCAAGTGATCCGTAAAGCACGGCTAAGAACTAAAATACATTATGGTAAGATTAGTCAAGATTTAGACTTTTTCTTTTTGCTGCAGGCTGCTGAACAGTTAAATTGCTGTCTCTTTGTGCATCCCTGGGACATGCAGATAGATGGAAGGATGTCCAAATATTGGTTTCCCTGGCTAATAGGTGAGCGTATATTTACTTTGCTTAATCTACATTTATCAACTGTCACTGGATTATGCCCAGAAGATTGTTACAAAGGTACTAGTACAGAGAAAAACTACATGATTTTTCTATCAATCTTTTTTTTTTTGTTAATCAAGTACTACAATTAAATGTGTTGGGTAAATTCAACAGTCATTTGTTTTGAAGCTTGTTTAGTTTGTCTAACTTTTAAATACCTAGAATTAAAATTATTCAGACTAGCAACAGAATCTAGTATTCTCCTTTGTCTTAACTAAAAAGAGCAGATGACTAGGGAAAAGTGAATTGTCTCTGAAATAAGCTCCTCAAAAATAACATGAGTAAATGAAGGAGTGGGCAAAACCGCTCTGTAACTATTATGTTTTTCAGTAGGCTCAAGGCTAATTGCAGAAAATGAAGATAACATTTAAAACTCTAATAGGAAAATACAAAATAAAAGTCTCATACAATAAAGCTTTTTTTGTTCCTAGGCATGCCAGCAGAAACAACTATAGCCATTTGCTCCATGATTATGGGAGGAATTTTTGAAAAATTTCCTAAGCTGAAAGTTTGCTTTGCACACGGAGGTAAGTAATATACCATGTGAAACACCTGTTTCTCAGTTGAGCATGGTACAATTGTATTTTCTGGTACGCCCATTAATAGTGTTACCACTTGAAGCCTGCCACCAGCTGAGTACTATTACCCCAAAGAAGATAATCTGCCAGTCTGGCTGCTTGTATGAACACTCTCTAGCTTGTTTCAGCCAGTGTTTGAGCTGTTATAATAGCCTTTTAGGGAAACAAGGAGGAAGGGGAGAAAGGAGATGGTTTGGGAAAGGGAAAAGGAAGCAGCGGGAGGAATTAGGGCATCACAGTAGTGCAGAAGTGGGAAAAATAGAGAAAGAAGCTAATGAAGGGGTAGGAATAAAAAATTGCTGGTGCAGAGCACTTTCTTTCTAGATATCTGGCAGTAAAACTTACAGATTTCTGTTGATAATGTGGCTTTTTTTCCTCCTGCATACTTTCAGCTTCTGTTACTAAAAATTTCTTCGTGCAGGTGGAGCTTTTCCATACACAGTGGGGAGAATCTCCCATGGATTCAACGTGCGCCCTGATTTGTGTGCAGTGGATAACAAGGTGGATCCAAGAAAATACCTGGGTTCATTTTACACAGACTCTCTTGTCCATGATCGTGGTGCACTGAGGCTGCTAACAAGTGTAATAGGAGAGGTGAGTTTTAATGCTTCCGGAAGCAGGTGAGTCATTCTTTATTTAATTCTCTATGAAACAGCAAAAGGAGAAGAGAAGAAGAAAGCAAGAAGAAAACAGCATATTCACCCAGTAAAATCAGAACCTGAGCTATTACAAACTGATGGGCTTCTGCCATGTTGATAGTGTTTTTACTACATGGAGTTAGTGAAATGGTGGTTTTAACGCAGGAAATCATGCGCTCTGAACCTTAGTTCAGTGAGGCTGGTTTGTTGTGTAAGGTTGTTCAGGATGGGACTGCAAGCAAAGACTGCTTCATTTGGAGCCTTGTTTTCAAATGGCTTAATTTTCAAACTCAAGTGTATATTTGAAGACATAAAATTTGATTTCCACTTGGGAAGTTATAGGTAGAAAGAAGTCAATAACAAAGGAAGTCTTTGTGAGGATCCTGGAGAGCACATTAGACATCACGGGTTTGCAAAAATATTTTAATTGTTAGAGTGGAGAGTAAAGACATCTTTGTAGTTTAGCAACCTGTTTAAATCAGGTACAGCATGGGATAGAAAAATCCAAAGTCATTCAAATACTTCCTTCTCATGAGTAACTGCTCAGGAAGGGGCTGAAGATGGTATCGCTCATGCCAACTTCCAATGGATCACTACAAATCAACAAGAGAACAGTATTTGTGTCTTGATCTCTGGACCACATGGAGTTCCTGCAGCTAGCAGGCAGATACCTACCAGATGTCAAAAACAGAAATTCAAGCTCTGGCATGGACTTTCTTGTCTCAAGAACTGTATTCCTGTCTCTTGTACATTAGTTTTTAGGCTCACATAGTACTTTCTCACATACAGGGCTGTTGCTGTCACCAGGGCCTCTTGTATGACCCAAAGTTGACAAAGACAGTTAAGCCAAATGTTTTCTTTCTCTCTACAGAAAAAGAGACTGTTGATTTCCCATTTTCATTTCTAACACTCTGAACAGGTTACTGCAATAAATCTGTACTAGAACTGGTACAGAAGTGGCTTGCCTTGGCCATCCAAAAATAATAAAGCAGACCTATTGCTTTCTTTATCATGGTACTCCAAGCCCAATTCTCAACCCTTTGAAATCCATGGGGTTTGCAGTCTGTGCTGCACAGGAAATCTGTAGCTTTGAGACTGGACTTCTGCCTGCAGTACTGCTCCCCTACAGTACTTGTGCCTTTCAGGAAAACTTTGCATTTGAAGATTCATGAGAGAGTCAACAATGTGATAGCACAACTACAGCTTGAAACAATGCTATACAAAGTTTTTGTATATGTATGTACACATACAACAACACTACAGCTCAGAGGAGAGAGAATACCTCTTTCTTAAATCCACCATGAACCAAAACCAGATTTGTGACAGGAGCCCCATAAAATGTGCAAAGAAACTACCATGCAGCCTAGTTCCGTTAGAAACAAGCAAGATAAAACCCAGGTCAGTTTACTTGTCAGAATATCTGCTAATAAGCTGTTAGTATGGGAAAGTACTTCTAACATCAGTGGGTATCAACTCAGGTGGCATTTGCTAAGTTCTTTCTGTACATATGTTACAGGATTTTTTTTGGCAGTGTTAGTCCTAGTGAACACTGATGGGAGAGATGTCTGTCAGGGATGAAGTTTTAGGCACCAGATGGGTTACTAACAAAATACTAGGGCTCCAGCCCAGTATTGATTTCTGTTAATTTCTGTTACCAACCTCTAAATAGTAAATATATCATTGTTAACAGTCCAGGACATTTTACTAGCTTTTGAATCTAACTGTAGCTTACAGTAATCAAGTGGCTTTAAGTAGTTTTTACAATAGATGTACAAATTTTACCGGATGTGATGTGCACTTCCATTTTACAAGATCGCCAAAGGCTTATAGAGTAACAGTTCAGCACTTGCCTTCAGTTATCTCCTCATCCGAGAAGTCTCCCCAAATCTAGACCATGTTCATCCTAAATATATTCTTGTTCTACATGACATTATAGTATAGCAGGGAT